ATAAATTTATGTACATTCGCCTGATATCTTATCCATGTTAAATATAGATTGTCGTTGTTTTCAGTTGGCGTTTATTCATAATTTTTCTACTTTAGGTATACTTTTACACTTTTGGAGGTTTTTAATAACGCCGTCCAATCGAAAGGGAGAGTTTATTTATACTTCGACTATGCCAAATTGTATTTTCCTATGCAGTGATCAACCAGAAAAACCTGGTTTCGTCAATCTCCACTCGAAATAGATCTGTCATTTTTTATCTATTTTGTAAATACGCAGATTAAGATTTTCATTGTTACTAAACTTGATCAAATCTAGAGGCGATTATTTATAGCTTTATATCTTTAACTGCGTTATTGGTTTGATTGATTTTATCATTTAGCGGTTTACTACCTACAATAATTTATTATTTATTTTATCACATCTGAAGATCGATATCCATTATTGGATCGCATTGTTCTCCAAGTTACATTATATCAGAAATTCTATTTTGGTACCTACACCAAAACTAAATTCAGCTAAAGTTACCCAAAATCAGTCCTCAAAGTCTGCAACTGAGACACTGAGGAGTCACCATGTGAAATTTGATCATGTCCCAAGTCCAAAACAGTATAAATTGTCCCGACATTTTTTAGCAACCCGACGAAATTTAGGCATTGAGCCGATTGAGGGGAGTAAAAGCATTTTAAATAAAGACCCCGTGCTTAATGCGTGTTATTTAGACAACATTTTGATAATTGTTACAACACAATTCATATGACTAATTTGAGCATCCTCGTTCAACCGTTGCTTTTGAAACCAATAATGATTAAGGTATAACCAACCAATTTTGAAATCATTTAATCTATTCAACTTTGTATATTATTGACGTCATCTGAATTAACCGCACTTTCCTTCAAAACATTGTTCCATTTTCCTTCTGTGAGTACCCTCCTCCGACACTATTATCGAGATATTCGCACTTAAACTGACGTAGTCAATACATATGTTTCATTCAAATGTTCTATTATTTTCCCCTTGTGGGTACCTACCATCCTTTACCACTCCTTGCTCGAGGTATTCATTTTGACCTCACCAATCGTTTTCGATATACTCGTATTACCACTCACAGAAATCTCGTTCAGACGTCCCATTTTTTGACACTCCGTTCCTCGCTTTCAAGTACCTACGCACTTAAATGTATGACCTACCCAGTAGATGTGTTTGGTCGAGACGTTTCATTTCCCCTTGTGAATACCCTCTTCCGATACTCCGTTCTCGATATATTCTACCATTAGATATGTTTTCTCCAGACCTTCAATTTTCTCTTTGTGAGTACCCTCCTCCGAAACTCCATTCTCGAGATATTCGCACTTACAAGTTTCGACTTCAATAGATATATCCCGTCCAGACGTCCCTTTTTTGCCTTTGTATGTACTCCCGTCCGGCACTCTGTTCTCAAGATATGAGGAATTGTAACTTTTCTCGAAAATATGTCGGAGAGAACAGCAGGATTGTTGTTGAGACTGAAGATAATTCATTAAGGTCAATTCGTTTCGTTGAGACCTTTCATTAGAGTACCATGAAGAATAGTCAGTGTCTTCCCCCTCCACCTTAATTTTGAAGGGGGTAATTGGTAGAAAACAGTTCCTTTTCCTTTAGCTGAAGACTACCGTGGAAAATAAAACCAATCCCCCACCCCCCCCGTTGTTGTATCCGGTATTTAAAAAATTTCAAGACTGGCCAATTATCAGTATACTTACGCATTTTTGCGCAAAAAACTTCCTATACCAAGAAATGAACCCGAGCCTCCAGGAAGCGAGTTGGGCGTCCTTACCACTACACAATATGAGATATATTACATCGTGACTGAATCTAATATGAATAAATTTTCGCGCCTGTTGCGACAAATGATTACTAACGTCATGTTTCATGCAGGCGGCGCAGCAATATTGATCTCGGTGTATTTAGTGTGTAGCCATTTTTAGAAAATACCTACAATGCCTTGGAAAAGATTTAGAAAGCCGAGTAGAAAGCTTTGCCTCATCCGGAAGTCTCCTAGAAGGCTCTCCCTAAAGACCGAAGACATCTGGAAAATGAGCGAGATTATGAGAAACCAGGAGAGTTTGCTCTAGAAAGTACCTAGAACGTTCTGAAATGTGTTTGATTCCTCTCTGAGTCTCGAATGCTCTAGAATTCACTTGTAGTTTTCTGATAAGAGTTTGAGTTGTGAGTAAACCACAGGTGAAGTTTGGCGTACCTACACTGTTAAATCCGTTAAATCTTTGTAAAACTTATTTGTTTTTGGAAAACCGCAGGTCAAATTTGGTGTGCACAAGTTGGGCAAATGCATGAAATGTTAATAAAATCCCGAGTAAAATCCTTGAAATCTACGAAATCTTTATAGTGAAATCCATGAAATATGAAATTTGGTGTACATGAAACATGATACTCGCGATCAACCCCTTGCAGTAGACCTGCCTTTTAGAGTATTCTGTAATGCTTTCTTCCAGTAGCTCTTTAGGTTTTTGTTTTCAAGATACCAGTAGAGGGTGATCGGTGTTCTTCTCTTAAACGGCAGTGCGACAAAAAATGATCACAAGGTTAAAATAGTAATAATTTATTGTGAACTTCATAGTGTACACCGAGGTGTACACGTAATTATTAACGAGCGACAAAGCTCGTTCATGATTTTAGACTTTCTGTCCGTCCGTCCGTGTACATGATAACTAGCGAACGGTTTCGAATTGTCCAATTCTGTTCTTAAATGGATGGATTAATAACGGATAATTATTATCATTTACTTGTACTAAAATTTATAACATGTACATTATCACACGCGAACGTCATTATTATCACTTCGGCATCGATGTTGGAACTGTGAGTAAGCTCAGTTCGTTTTGCTTAAGTATATAGCAACGGTAAAGTTTTTAAAAAAAATCACGGAACATTCTTGAGTAAACACATATGTCACATATGTCGCGGAAAGTCTCGGAAAAAGTGCCCCACATCCGCCTTAATTTCTTATCGCCGATAACTAAACCTTTATCGACGAGTTTATCGACTTGATGGCGCCCCGACATCGCTCTAGATTTCTGGAATATTCGCTGCGAGATTCGCTGCAATAGAATGTGTCGTTTGTAGGGAAATTTTTCGAAAAAAAGTTCCCTTATGTGATGGTCTACTCAACGAGCTGGGTGTCAAAAAATTCTCCTACTGAAAATCGTATGCGATTCTTCGTATCTTGTTAAGATACTGATAGGGGTTGTCGGAGTCACCCTCTTGGACTGTAGTGCAGGTTTGTTCAAGATAAATAATACGTAAATGTACTATTATATCGCTAATTTTTGTAGTATTTATTGTTCTCTGATTACACGCGCCACTGGTGCTTCGGGTATTTCAAGACATTTTGTCCGCTGTCTTCACAATGTAAATGAAGTAAAATTGCACCCTTGCAAGCGGGACCCTCGGCGGGACCAGCCTTCCTATTCTTTTCCCTCGGCTTTTCCTGTGTTCAATTCGTTATTCAACGGACCTACAGAAATTTTAGATACATATGTCGAAATTTCCAAAGTACAGATTTCCGCAACATTTTCAAAATGTCAATTTCCTACACATTCGCAAATTTTCCAAAACATTTGCAAAATTTGCCCAGATTCCTTTGCCCAGCCGCCCATCCAACGACTTTGTACCTCAAAAAGTTGGTTAGTAGATACTTAGGTCTAAAACGAGGTCTAAAACCATTTTTTTTTCAAAATAAACCAACTGTCTAGAATGTATCGTTTGGTAGAAACAGAAAGAGGGAACCTGTCCCAAAATTCCCACCCTAAGATGGTGCCGCACTGACACAATTTAATATCTGAGGTTTTTTCAAGATAAAAATAACAATCCAAACTGGGGTTTTTGAAAATTCAGAAAAAATTCCAACTGCAATTCTTAGTGGGGTCACGAAAAAAGATCAGAATTTCATGAGATTTTAAGGATACACTGTTTATGTATTTTAAAGCGACATTGTTAAGTTTTCCCTCGGTTTGTGCATACGAATTTTCAAAAAAAAAAGGGCTCTCAACTCGGCTCTAAATATTTTTCCTAAAACATGTAAGTCGAGATGTAAGTATTTTAGAATATTTTGAAATCCATCGATGAACCAGGTATTGCAATTGAAAAATTTCATTTTTTTTCGAATTTTCAAAAATTAAATTTGGTTTCATAATTTTCACGTTACAGAGACTATTTACAGGGATGTTTTAGAAGTTTTTTTTGTAAAATCCATCTTCAGTATTTGGACAAAACTATTCGACGTGCTTGATTCTGACACCCTGTGTAATGGGGAACAAAGAAAACATAATCGGAACACTTAATCTCAAAAGCCGACAAGAAATAATACTGGACCCAATAAAGGTAGATCCGAGGGTAGATCCTTAACGTGTATCAATACCTATGCTAAAATCCACCTTTTCACAATCTCTCCTCAATATCGAATTTACAATATTGTTTTTATGTTAAAATATGGATCTAAACATAAAACATAAATCAAACGGGTATAATCTAAAGCGGTCGAAAGAAATCCCGACAGATGAATTCTTTCTGGAGAACTTTAAACATGGACTCTTCTCGAATCCCTTAAAAAATCATTACAGCTTGATATATAACCAACCCCGAAAGACATTAATTAAGGAAACTTCGAAACAATACATTTCTGGGGTTTTACGATTGAATCACGCCATAAAAATAATTTATTTTACAGTAAAATGACCAACTATATTTAGTCAAGGTTGTCTATAAAATCAGTGACTTCGTCAAACATTACGACAGGTGGTGATTCCTATCAGTTATATCTAATAAAAGGGCAAGTGGTAAATGATGTGTTAAAATTATTTGTTTACAAATAGAAATCCTGACGGTTTGTTGTGTGGGTGGTATAACTTTGAATGGAATCAGCTGACGCCATCAGCGCTCTAAATGTAGATGCCACAGAAAAAGGGGAGCGCGTATTTTAAAACTGACCTACTGAAAATACTTACCACGAGTTTTCCTGTTGGGGTGTCTTCGAGCATCCCGAAGCACGTTGTTTTAAAAACACCTGCAGCTTTTGTTTGACCTCAGATGAGGCCACCGCGCTCTGTTCGTGTTTTTCTTTTCGTCTGAGCGCTTCAAGCTGTTCCCGTTCGCGAATCTCCTGCAATTGTTTTTGTTGATCCCAAAACTCCTTGAGATGTTGTCGAAGCTGTCTTTCATGTTGTTCGGCGAGATGTTGTTGTTGCTGCTGAAAATGTTGCAGAAGAATCTGGTGTTGCAGCTGATGTTGCTTTTTTAATTGCAGAATCTGCTGTTCCAAAACGCGCTCGGGTGCCTCGCGCTGCTGTTCGGCCATCCTACTTTAACAACATCCTGTAACACTTCACAAAAATAACACTATCACACAACGCACGCTACGCTAAAACTGCGAAAAATAAATCTTTAATTATATGTGAGGTCATTACGGTCGTAGTTACACTGAAGATAGGAGCACTGAAACCACGAATGGAGGACGGATGCGTAGTTGCCAGATAATGTAATGATAGGACAATTTTATAATAAAGTCTGTAGCTTAGAATTTGACCTATAGTAACACGCTTTGTTTGTAACTATTACGCGTTTTACCTAACACCAACGATATCTAGATTTTAATGAGTCATTTCTATTTTTAATGTGGGATAATACTGCATAGGCGCTCGTCGTGGAGTTGCGCCGTAGAACACTTCAGTTCCAATGTACAAGACAAAGATCTCGGGCGATCACGTGGCTCCGTCCACATGCAACAGATTTCAATGTTTTCATCGGTTTCGCTAACCGTCGGCATGGCAACGTTGTGAGGAATGTAAAAACCAAGGTTGGTACAAAAATAGAAAATCTTTATTATAAATAAATCCATTTTTTTCGCAGCTGTCCCAAAATACAGTCGACCTATAATATACACACCGAACTAAAATATCGCCTTTAAAATAAAAAAAATACATATTGTTCACTGGGTGCCACAAAATTCCACCAGCGAAATAATTACGTTCTAAATATAGACCGTATTGTACTGGGCAAGAGAGATAAGCCATTAAATAAAGATAGATACGCTGAACGTAAACAACTAATAAAATTCTATAAATAAATTGATCAATTCATATAACAATTTTCACCTATGTACAGGATGTTGCATAAGGGAAGTTTTTACAATCCCCCGCCTTGATTGGTCAAGGTCGACTGGTCGACACGATTATTAATTTCCCTCTTTAAGAGACTTTTTAAAATTCAAATATTTCCATGATGATAATATGAACCAACCTAAACATTTTATTAATTTGTTTACATTATTTTAATACTGACTACGATCGGTAATTAAAGTCTAATTTATGCACTATTATTGTAATGTTTATGCAAGTACTTTTCCTTCCTGTAAACAATAATTGACTTTTACAATGCAGCCATTAATTATAGGTACATGGTACACCTAGATCTGAAGATACCTGTCAATTAGGCAATACGTATACGGTAAATCGGTAAAAGACGGCCTCTTTTTTCATATACCTGCAGGCTGCAATGGCTTAATTTTTTATTCAATGGGAATGAATCCGTAGCGCTTCTGTTCTGAAACGTGTGGAATGGCTTGAAATTTGAGTCTGTTGTTTCAAGAGATTGTTTACTTTTTAGGGCCCTGGGTAGGTACAATCAGTGTCGGTGGTATAGCAATAAAGACTAAAGAGGCTTTCCATAATGCCGTTAATAAAAACACTATTTTTATTCAAGAATATAATAGTCGCATAAATACAGACGTGCATAGCAACACTGTTGCTAGTAATATTAAATATTGCAGAAATGTCACCTTACGAGTCTTCTTTACCCAAGCGCAACTTTTTTACATTATAGTATGTAGACGATTATAGTTGCAAGAGACAAAATGATATTTTTCTATTTCGGTGTCACAATGATGATTTTGTACAACTGTTTTCGGCCGAAAACAGTTGTACAAAGGCAGTGATTATAGTCGTTTTTTTTTGGTAACTCATCTCTTAAGTTGGCAGTTACTATAGTTAGTACAAGTAGGTACTTCCTTGGGTACTTCCATGTTTGAACTTCAAAATGTCAGTCTTACTACGCTGCCAACCTAAAACTTAACGGCATAAAAAGTGTTCCCAACATAAAACATGTTAGTTCTAATGTTCCCTATAGTTTCTGATAATGATTTTTTTAATTAAATTAAAGCACCGAAATAGAAAAAATAGTATGAAAAACGCGTGTTACAATGCTTTGTTGTAATACTCCTATCTTGCGGACACTCGTGGCTACGCTTCGCTAGGTCGCATTGTAACACTTGTCTTTCAATATACTATTTTGCTTTGTCAACTCCTGTCTTGGTCCTTAGTTAATTCCCGCCGACACTGAGCAGCGGCGCCACTTGGTACACTGAAATTGTTGATTTACCGCCCGCCAAGATACAGACTTTATTTACAAAAAATATGATTTCATTTTTTGGGGTAATGTTTAGAAGGAACTTATCTAAAAAACTGTCGGTTTACTTTTTCCATAAATCGTCTTGATCGCGAGTAAAAAAATGAAACAGATTAGCGCAATAATCGGCGCAAAACAGCTAATCTTTAAAAAATCGCGATTCAGTTGCTATACACTTTTAAAAAAAAATAGTCCGAACATTTTGTAGATAAAGGTCTAAATTTATAAAATAGTTCTTAAAAAAAATTTTTTTTTGAAAAACAACTAGAGTTTTTATGGCGGGCGCTCTTATGGAAATTTACATTGGGCGACCGGATCGGCGCGTTTTCCAAAAAAATGTTATACTTATTCATATCTCGATAACCACCATCCTGAATTTGATTTTGATATAATTGTTGAAATCTCCAATTCCATTTTTCAGGAAATTGGTCAGACAGGTATTCTTGCGCAATTAGGGCGTTGTGCGCGGTAGCACCATCCTGCTGAAACCAACAGTTTCCAACTTTTGTTGTTTATGTATGCCATATAATCATTGTATTACGTAATTTAAAAAATGCTACTCAATACAGTTTATACTTTTTTAGGGGCCATATAAAAAATAAAATTGATGATAATTTCTCCGGAACAAAACATTGTATTGAAAATCTCTCAACTTTGACTTGTAGAACTCAAAAAGTGGAAATGGGAAAGTGTTTTTTTAATTTTTTTGCATCAAATAACATGAAAAAATTAAAAAAATCAGCAAATTTAGGTTCTCCTTGGGGGGGGGGGGGGAAATGGGCATTTTCTCGTTTTTTTTAAAGTGTGATAATAACTCTTTGATTGCGCATCTTTTCTCTAATTTGACCATCCTCATATCTTCTATGATTTCAGAGATCCCTATGATAAACATCCTTATCTTGGACACAGTGTATAGCAAACGCCAGTCTTTCTCATCGCTGCGCCGGATACTAATCTTTTATAGTGCCTTGGGGTTTCTTATAGGATATTCGCTACATAATAATAACCAGTAACTTGAAGTTTAAATGTAAGAAAAGTTGTTCAGAACCAAATTTTCACAGCAACAATATAAAACATATTTCCTTCTCACAACGTGTTCTTTATTACTATTCAACTGACAAACATCCATTTTTTAACGCCCTTAAAGGACAATGGTATTGATTTGAATACAAAAATGCAGAAAATATTTACAATAATTTTTTAGTAGTGACATAATATAACACAATATATTATGAGCTGTATTATACTATGGTAGTGATATCCCTGAGAAATGGACCTCGATTACGGACTTGTCTGCTTATATGTCTCCAAAATGTTGGCGAACACAAGATCAATGGATGGAAACTCTTGGAACTTGTAAAAGAATGCGGCTTGCCTTTTGTGAAATTTCACGCGATTGCCACAATTGCGCAATCCGTCGGAAGATGAAAATGCCATTGATAATAAGTACCAGCGCACAATAGGAAGCCGACAGGTTCACGCGATCCAAAAATCACTCTGATAATTTATAGGCTGATTAACTTAACTTCTCGCGGTACGAAGGGATTAACTGAATTTTTCCGCTTGCATTTCGACGCGAGTACTATTGAGGTTTCGAATTTAATTTTTCGTCGGCTTGAAACTGAAATTTCCATCAACTAATTAACCACTCCGTCCAAATTTTTCGGGTGATTGACTTAAAACGTACCTACTTATTTTTGACCCGCGTATTGGCCCACGACTACTCTCCGAATGATCCAATTCCTACCACCTTAATTTTTTGAAACTACAACCTACTAAGTATTTGAATTTGTTCAACCAACAGTACTCGTTCCTTTTTGTCAATGATATCTGCCGAAACCCAACATGCTAGATACCTGAAAAATACCCACAGATTCTGCAAAAAATACCCTACGCGGTACTGCTAACGAGCGCATCTGATTCAACAGGACCGTCGTGTACTTCTAATTAAATTCGCTTTTGTCGCGACACTCTGGCGCTTCCGACCTTAACACGCACTCAACTGTCCAGGAACTCGGAAACCTTTATAATATTAATTCAATTCAACCCCAGACCTAACTTACAAGAAAGCAGCCTTTTAAGACCATTTTAAATTTTTTATTATATCAATTACTATACTACGACTGAAAATCTTGCCCACATCCGTGTGTTCTTATACACTGTGTAGAAACGGTTTACGCACCATAGGGATTTTATTGATAATATTACTAATTTCTTTATATCGAAATATTTTCTTCACTAATTAATTTAGACCAAAGTTGTAAATAGGTTTCTTGTAACTTGAAATATTCTGACCGAATGCTATCATGCTACCCCTTCATCATATGACCGCGTGGGCTTGATGGAGGTAATGAAAGGTGAGGGAGGAGATTTGTCGCATAGTGTCTGACCAACCCTCATTATGTTCTGCTTCTGTTTCCCTTAGTATAAAAACACGTTCGTCGTTTAAAACTAGATTTTCTTGTAGGCGGGCATAGTAGGGGGTAGTGCGTGTACCTACATGTTAGATCAGGTTTAGGTACAATTACTCTGGTACTATGTCTCATGTCCAGAACGTAGGTGTAGGTGCCTATTCACTTTATTTATATTTCAATAGCAAGGAAGAAAGTGTAAACATTTATTTTTAATTTATTATTTTTCTTGGAATAGCGTAAGTAGGTACATATGTAACGATCAATGTCGAACATCTTAAAAATAACTTACTTACCGCGATTAAAAACGTGGTTCGTACCAGGAAGCAGGAAGAGATTATTACTATTGTCGTTTTTACATAATAACCTCATGGAATCTGCGTAGTCATGCGTCGATCGACATGATTGATAAATGGTATAGTAAAGAAAGGTTTAATGAATCCACGTACGAAAATAGGTGTACATAATGGAAAAATAATTTTAATTCGTATTTGTGGGTTAATAATACAACTACCTTGGCCTTAAAATAGGTGGAAGTATTTATTGTGAGTGGCCATAACTCGACCGTAACTGCAATCAATTAAAAAAGGTTCTTACAGATAAAACTTTACTTGACATTCAAACATTGCAAATTATTGCTGTATATTTATAGGTATGTCCAAGGTTGTGTAAAAATAGAAATAGAATATAGATTTAAAAAACTACTACTATTTTCGCATATGTGGTATCTGGTATAGGTAGTGCCCATCTATCTATAACAAATAGAGGGAGTAACAATACGATATTTCTGATATTCGTTTCGTCGTCGAAGAAAATATATTCAGCCATAGGTATACTTTAAAATTTAAATTTAAACAATGTTTCAGATTTATGTAATGATAGTAAATGAAATTTATGAATTTATATTTTTTATTTATTGTAGCTTTGGTAGATACAATGCATAGGTACTTGTACTTCTCTGTCCATGTAATTTTTTAAGAAAAAAGTCATGTAAGTTAGTATACTTACCCAATTATTGATTACTTCACAACCTGTATCAGAATTAATTGATCAGTTATTTTACTTTGTTTATATGTAGTTTAGAATTAAGTGGTTATACTATTTTTATTATTATGTAGGTATTGACTTCCTTTACGAATAATATTGTTGTTACACTTGCGTGATATATGTTGCCTAAGCATCGGCAATTCTGCATGTAGAGAGATTTCAGGCCAGTTCAAATGCTGTGCTATGTCGTAATTCGACCACTAATATTATTGGGTTTTGTTGTTGGTACGTGAAGAAAAATTGTAATGACTATTCATTTGCTTCAATCAAAGACTTCCACTTCTAATGCATTAGAAAACAAATTGATTGTAAGTGGGAACCAAAACATAAACTGAGAGCCAAGTGTTGCGTTGGTTTCTTTGATTCGATTTTTTATAATTTTTTTAGATTTATGTCGGTATTCTGTAGTGTGTTCTTCTGCAATATATATACGTGTAGGATCAGGAAAGAATAACCCTCCTAACTCCTAACGTTGGAATTTGGAAGCGTAGGGTGCTTGTGGACTGACAAGATTTTGACTTCTATTTCGCAGATTGTGATGATTTTAAACGGATTTAGTGGCAGGAATTTTTAAATTGTTAGCTGTGTTGCGTGGGCGATTGATCCTTAAATACAGTCCTGACTTTATAAAATGCGTTATGTAAAAACTCTTAAAGGAAATTATTTTTTATGGTGGAAGTGGTGTATCCTTTAAATACTGGAGACACAGTTTTAACGATGCTTGTTTGTTCAGTCTGAGAGCGTTGCACATTTTGATACGCTGTTATCTTGGGCAGTCGGCCCCATTTGTTAAGTTGGAGACGTAATTTATCGTGATTATAATAAAGTTCTATAGAATTTTAAGTAATCGTGTTGAGAAAGTGAAGTTTTAACGTCGTAAAGTGATTTGGTAAAGTTTCTAAGAAGTTTTGTCTGATTTTGGAAAAAGATTTACTACAAGTCAGAGTCAATCCAGCACTTGCCGCATAGTCTTGGTACAAGGTTGGTCATTTATTAAAAGTAAGAGTGTTCTACCACCCGAAGAGCTACCAAATTTTGTCATTTAATTCAACAAGTCAGTTTTGTTTAGTTTTGACATTAGGACCCTGTTTAATAAAAACGAAGTGAAGTTTCCTGAAGCTGCTGGCTAGTAATTGTTTGTAAACTAACATTTTCTCCGTGAATGAGGCGGTCACGGGGGTAGCACATAGCTGTAACTACATTAGTTACGACCCCTATTGCCGCGACTGACCTCGACTCTCAACTGTATGCTTGAATTCCCTGGACGAAGGGCAAGTTACCTATCTCGGCGCCGAGATTCTGCTAACAAGAACTTTTCGGTTTAAAACGAATAAACATTATTATTATTATTATGTAGGCACATCTCGTCGTTTGCGATAAGGTTTTATTATCGAACGAGATTTAATTAAAACACCTGTTTTTTATCGCTGAATGATGTGCGCATTTCTTCGGCGTGAGTGGGGATGCATTCCGTCGAAACTGGCGTTAGCAGGGCTAATTATGGTTGGCGTTTTATCTGTAAGAACCGGAACGAGATTTATTTTGGGAAGAGTGGATTTCTTTCTGCTATTTTTATTCGGGCATTCCTATTTGATTGGTTGAAGACGCTGTACAGAAGAAAAGTAACTGAAGTTACAAGTTGGGAGAAGTTCAACGCGCGCTATCCGTATTCGGAAAAATTTAGTCAGTTGAAGTAAAGGAAGCAGTTTTAATGCATCGTGAGGCTTTCTGTCTAGGTTCCCTTATTATCATGGTTAAAAGTGTGTACCGTCTGAATAGCCACCGGGAATTCGTCAATTCATTCATCGAGTTGTCGTTGTTTGCCAAGTCCTAAAGAAAAATGTTTTTCCGATGCGTTTGTGTGTTGGGTTAAGTGCGCCTTGTTTATCGCAAACGACCACATTACTAAGATCATTAAAAGAGACAAAAACTGTATGTGTTGTAGTGTACTTAACCCTCAGGTTCTACGCTAACTTCACACTACAAGAACACGGAAATAAAGTCAACCCGGCAACGTTTAAAAATGGCCACCCGAATGACTATTCCTTCCAAAACTAAACAGGATCCCGCTTAAATTTGAACAGTGGCACGTGATCAAACAGGAAAGACAGAAAGCAGGACTCCCTTACGCTAGTTGTAGACAACACTTTGACCTGAAGCACAGTAGGGAAGGAACGTAAAATAAAACACTCAAATTGTGAAAAGTTTGTTTAATAATGATCGCAATTATTAAGATTGGAATGCTTAGAAATTTTAGTCTAAATAAATTACATTGCAAAAATAAACTTTGAAAATGGTAGTTCACCGAATAAAAATAGGAATAGGTTGGGAAAAAAAAGAACTTGCCAATAAAAAAAACAGCCGTCAAATTAATATCAAATTGTGTTGTAAAATTAATTGTTGTGAATGCGTAATAATAAAATTATAACATCACAAAAAACTAGCAGGTAAACTTCAAGAGGTAACATAGGTTAAAAACAAGTTTTGGGAATTATGGGTCAGGTAAGCAGGTACCAAGATTCTAAGAAAGGGTGTGACTCATCTTTGGTGCAATAAAATCCTTTTGTTAAAAGCAAGATGCAAAATTACATGCTATTGTAGGCAAATTTAACTAAAAACAAGATGTGGAAATTATTAAATCGCCACTCATTTATCGCACATAGATTCTAAACTGAAGAGTTTTGATTAGCATAATCTCGCTCCCGCAAGATAGGTAGCGTCGCCCCTCGTTCGGGGTTTCGAGCCTACAGTTGAATGTCGAAGACAATCACGGAATTAGGTGTCATAGTTCAATTTTGACTACAGTTTTTATCACCCCCGTGATTGCTTCATTCACGGAGAAAATGTTAGATACAAACAAGTCAGTACCTACATACATCAAACGAATCGTTAATTTCCACATATTAAAATAAAATGATCGAAACTTATATGAATGTTACTTCACCGAGAAGACCAAGTAATCAACACCAATAAACATAAATTTAGTAAGCATTACACCAAAAACGTAAACAATTACAAACAATAGCATAACGGTATCACATATGTGTGATTATGGATTGCGGTTAAACCAAGTAAAATTCAAAAACAAAGATTCAAACACAAAAAATATAAAATGTGGCATACAAAACACAAATACGATATAAAGAAATGCAAAGATTACTACCTGTATTTAAAAAAAAACACAAAATAACAACAAACATTTATGGAGCAACGCGTTCACGACCGCCATTCAAGACAAGATGCCAAACGTAACCCCCGTCCGTGCTTTTTAGATGGCGCAGGCATAGATATATAAATACAGGCGCAGGCTGTTTTTTCCCACCTAGAAATTGCATGGTTGCCAACTCTCAAAAATGTATGTATCGTCGTAAGTTGTATATACAGGGTGCAACCTCTCAGTTTTAAGATTTTATTATTTCTTTTGCCGAAAGGGTGTAGTGATAGTGTATTGTAGTTAATTCTTTGGAATTTTCAGAAGCTGATCGAGGATACTGAGTCTCCCAAATTATTAATTTAAGTCAATATTGGGATTTTTCTATGTGCCAGTTGCCGAAAGTGTACAAGGAGAACTTATAAAAATAAAAGAAAAGTTTCAAGTTTTATTTGTTTGAACTAGCTGGACAGGTGTTTTGTGGATGGTGTAGTTAACCATAGCACATATTTGGCAGTAGGTATATTTAAACACAACTATTACGAACCTCTAACATATCCTCATGCCCGAGTCGTGTTAGTGAGATGAGATTTTTTTCGATTGCGCTAATCAATTGAGGTTAGTACTCGTATCTTTAGTTACATTACCGTGATTTCTTTTGTTTAGTGTGCCAAGTTTCTCATTTGAGATCTTTAAATCCAATGTCCTACTTGCTACCCGATTATACAATCGTCTCCGCCAGCCTCTAGGCGCCTGTTATCTTTCGAAAATGGTCCAATTTTCACATTTCTGTGGTTTCAAATGTTTTGCGTCCGGCGATGTCCGTATTACTTTGGATGGATCACCTGGCGTCTCAAAAATAAACACACAAACTACAAATAAGGTACAAAACGGATACAAAGCTAGTAGAAACATATTTTTTAAAATGTATTGATCACATTCATGATTCGTCAATAAAATAGTAAGGTGATAAGCTTTAATCGCGAATAACATTAAGGCAAGTGATGTCCATTTCGCTACCAAACTTGGTGCCTGTCAATAAAGTTGTATTGACTTCCACAGAACGTTTCATGAAAATCTGCTTAATGGTAGCAAAGTGTTTCTGTAATGAATCAAATGACTAATACAGTGACTATATATAGTGAATTTGAGTTACGTACCTTACACTTTTTTGGAAAATTCGTAAAAATGTGTTGTATCAGACGTATTCGTAGATTAGAGCACGTATTTGTATTGCGCAACCACAGTATTAAAATCGTCAAAAAAGGTGCTTCAGATCCGCTTCCCAAAACCGCATCGTACGCATTGTTAAGAAAACTTGGCAAAACTTGCATATGGATCAGTTTTGGTTCCAGTCGTAGTAGCATCTTTAATATTTCCACACAAGGTCTAGTCCACAACTTGTTTAACGCCATATCAATAATTAAATGAAACAATCCGACAACGGAGCTTTTATCATAACTCACTATCAGTTCCCTCTTGCGCATTAGAACTTGTTTCAGTATGATCAGCACTTGCTCGGTGACGCTCTGCACTGTTTTCAGTAGTTTAATGAAGTTCATTGTCACAGCGTATGACAACACCGCCTCATATTGAACCTGAAAAGTAGAAACAACAACTGACGCTGTATACAATTCGTTAAATACGGACATATCATTTGCATTCACACTTCACGTAAAACTCGACGAGTTTTCGGAGAAAGATTCAGGTAAGTATAATGTGTTTTATCCATTGAGATCAACTGTACGTACAATTTAAAATACACTGTTACGTAGATATGTATACATCTAGAAACAATATTTTTAACTGAATTTTTTTACCAAAGCAGCTACGGAGAAGTTGTTTTGAAAAATGTTGATGATATAGAACATTTTTCATTATCTACATAAGCTTTTTACTTACCTGTATCTTTATTAAAGAATGCATCATTTTAATTGCTGCAATAGAAACTCTTTGATCTTCATTCGTACAATACGAACACAACGTTCGAATAGTTGCTTTCTCGCAGAACAAGAAGAACGCAGACGGTTTATCCTTTACATGTTCAAATAATGCCAAGTTGTAAGCAACCAACTCCGGAATTCTACTCATATAGCATAACTTTAACATTTGCGTACCGACCTGTTGGATATTCTTTTTTAAGCTATTCTGGATCAAATAACCCGCAACATCGATTTTCAAAGGGATGAATTGGCCCAGGGAATTTTTTTCTTCTAATAATCTTCCTAGTATATGTAGTAATCTGTAAAAACATAGAAAATCTGTTTATTTTAGAGAGTTAGTTGTCGACCGTAGGAGGAATTCCATTAAGCCCCGGATTGACTAGGAAGAAAAACTACTCACCTATCACGTTGAAGTTCGTCCAGTCCAATATTGAACAACGGCATTAACAGCAGCTGCCATTTGGATTTCTGAAGAGCGGATATAATATCCTCATCGGTTTTTTTCGATAGTAAATGGACTAATATTCGATTTTGTATTGAAGGATTAGGGTCGTTAAGGAACCAATTCAGTTGGATAGAATCCAATGTAACTACACGAGATATGCACTTTACCGACATTACGCTGGTAACCAAAATATCTCTCGCGCGATAACTCGTTGCGAGACCAGCTCTGTCGAGTAGGTTGAGGTACAAGGATAACAGACCTTTCAACACGTACTTTGGCGGTAGAGTTGGGCGCCGTAAATAGAGTTCAATTTCTTTTAATATTGTTTCGCCGCACCAATTGGACCTGAAAAAGTATAGCTGGTAGGACCATGAATACAAACGACTCTGCTAGGATTTTGACATAATTACCAGCTGCAAGTAGCACCTAATGACTTACCGTACATTGTCGAGTTGAATGTACGCAAAAACGAAAAAAAATTCCTTATCGTGATAAGGCCACGTTTTGTAATCCACAGGCAAATTCCGAATTGTTTCTAATAATGCATCCGTACCACCCGGCCACCGGTAACTGTCATTAAGATAATACTGTTCAACAATGATAACGAAAATACTATCAATCATAAAACGAAGATTATTACTGCTAGTTGCACGGTAAGCTATTAACTCATTTAAGCAATCCAAGAAGTTTATATGGCCTATGGAATCATTGCCCGCGTAAGTTTTGTAGTATAAGACAATACAATAGCATGTTTCCAAAAAGAGCAAATCAGAATCGCACTGGAATCAAAATTTTAATAAATACGGATTGGACAATAAAGCACTTACCCGCGTTAGTGTGTCAACAGCGTTTTTTTCGATCCATTTTAAATAGTATTGTGCTCTATTGAAAGAAAAAAGCTTCCTGAAATACACAAAATTACTGATCGCGGAATCGACCAACGCCGTCGTTAACCGTTAAAAATTGAGTAGGTACGACTCTGTGACCCACAATACCGTAACTATTATACAGCTAATCGATCTAGCCTATATCGACATAATCAATAATAAACGAGCAAGAATCGGGCTTATTAGGGACGTTCAGTGGCTCAACGGCTAAGTAAGCGGATATCCTGAACAAAATCGATCGATCTTTGATCATATTAGAAATGTTGTGATGACATACCTTTACGATTTACGGCAGAACATTGCAGCCGTGACATATCCACCTCCTGAAGTTGGTAGTCATTCATCTGCCCCCTCCCCCCTCCTAACCGGATGAGTCACAACGTGCAACAGGAACTAGGAACGAGAGTGTAGGCCGCTAGAGAGTCATCGCCTACCAAATGCTATGCCCTGGCCCTTCTCCTTACATAATTCAGGATATTTAAAATTGGCGCTTTATCTGAGCACAACGTTCCCAATTCGTCTTGTCATAAATCTACCCAAATTTAGTTTTGGATATACACATACAACATTTATATAGGCAAAGTAAAAAAGATGAACGGCTTTATGGTTCAGTGGTAGGGCATTGGGCTATAAATCCAAAGGTCGGGTGTTCGAACCTGGGTTGAGGTGAATTTTTCATCTGTGGCAGAGATGGGAATTACCTTAGACCAGTTTCGAGCATTCTGCCGGCTACTCCGAATTAGGTTTTCCTGCAGTTTTCCTAATTCGTAAGGTAAATCAGGGCCGTAGCCAGGGGGTGCCAAAGGGTGCCTGGCACCCTCTGGATATTAAGTAGCACCCTCTGACCGATCACGATCAGAATCGTAAAATAAAAATGTACAATAGTGCTATTTTTGTACAATGTAAATTAATTATCACAGGTATACAAAATTATTGTTGTTCATAATTATTACAATAAAATTGAATAAAAATGATTATTCTTGATAATTATAATACCTACATACTACATTTTGTAATATGAGTACAATAATGGTTATTATAATTATGCCATTTAATTCAAACGTAACAAGTTTAAATAACTCAGATTCAGACATATCTGAAATCTGAAGTTATGGATTAGATAAAATTAGTTTTTTTAATATATTTTTTGCTTTTTTAACAAAGCCCAGTTCGAGTCAATTGGTACCGAGATTTGAAACTGGTCCAAAAATTTTTCATTTTCGTCATGAACGCCAGATTTCTTTTCTATTAATTTTTCCCTAAATATGCCAATTTATAAGTATAAGGTAAGTAAAAATTACTGTGCTGAATCTGGGACCCCTAGGATCATCACAACCTATTTGCCATAGACATAAAGAAATACGCATTCATCTTGCTAGTAACCTTGTAACCCTTGATCGTCCCTAAAAGAACCCATATAGAACGTGTCGAATATATCGGAAATATCAATTACTGTATCACTAGATATAGACAGTTTAGTAAGCATACCTTTCGAGGATAATCCTAGTTATCCGAGTCAGAAGAAAAAGTTCTCCGTTGTAATGAAACAGTTTACAACATTCAACCAGTAATTTCGTCATATTACGACTAATACGCTTTTCAGCTCCTACGCGATAAGCGATTACCATTTCAACTGAAATAACTCCAATCTCCAACTGCACCATCTTCGTTTTTGCTTGCGTAATTGCGTAAACCAAAAACTCCACTATTCTCTCTTGATTTAGGCATAAGTTATCGTCGTTGGCAACCCTAAAAAATTACAACTCGTTTTTGGATAAACGAAACCAAATTCCTAATCATTTCGCGTTGTTTAGTTAATATTGTTGCTTAGTAGCAGTTGCTTATCTAGCTGTCAGTTAAAATACTTTGTTTTGAATGTCAAGGTCGAAATTGAATGAAAAATGAAAACAGGGTAGAAGGAATAAAAGATGTGTTACATTTTTGTGGAGGCATCACGGAAATGAGACAAGATATAAAAGAACATTTGCGCGTTTCTTATAGTGCCCTTTGTTCGACGCGGTTTCGCATTTTACAATGTGTCATGTCCCTCAACGATGAAATTGGACCGACAGTCCCAAAATTAAAACGTTACTTTTTGTAGCTTCAAAGTATTTGTATGTCAAAAAATGTCACACACACATTTGAGTACAAGAATCTTTTCAATAAACAGAGATCACGAAACATAGCCATGCCATATAGAATAGTCGTGTCTAAATACGACGATCCTAAATGGACGTTACTAAAATGCATCAATATGTCATTAACCGTTAGTGCAGTCAAATCGAAACTTGAAGGTGCGTTGCCGCCTGTGTGACCGTATATTTGTTTCCGTGCCATATTGATTTATCTGCTTGCCATTTTTAATGTTAAACCATATTTTTAGTAATTTGTTTAACTATGGTTTAACTGCATTTGACTCGACTACCTGATTGTATTTTCTTACGCACAAAACTCGTAAGTTTCATTCAATTCCACTCTCCCCTATACTGTATTCATTATAAGAAGTGTTTGAAGATAGGCACACACAGGAACAATATAAAACGACAGCAAATTATTGTAAAGTAGAAATATCCAGCACTGCGAACAGAAATAAATCAAACGATTTCACGCGTGGATTTTTGATATTAACAGTTAATGACAGTTCGACAATTTACTTGGCAACAAAAACTACCAGCTTACAAAATTCGTCACTCGTTTTAATTTTCAGCGTAACACTGACTCGTTTTTTAACCAATCACAGTGAACGTCAAAGCTTCCCTATGCTTTCTACCGCTACCTTCTTAAAATGAATAGAGTATAGTAGAACACAACGTAGAAGCCCTATACGAACCGATTGCTACCGAGATTCGAAAGTACCTTAAACCGTTCGACGTTTCAACATGAAAGTAAAATTCCCCAAAAAAGAAACCGTCAAAACTTAAAAAAAATATTTCTCTAACTATACCATCTGCACTAATACATTTAGTCCAGCGTTTCTTCAGCTGTTTCATTCCATTTGATTTTGCTTCAGAAAAGGACGCTACTATGCTTCTTATGGATGTTTCAACAAAAAGTGACGCTTGGCAAGTGCCGACAGAAGTGGCTACTTCTTTCTCTCTCACAATTTTTTGCTTCCTTCTTTTTGCTGCGATCTATTATAGAAAAAAAGAATGGCGGTCACGGGGTTTGAACCCGCGTTCCCATAATCGAAGGGCGACGGCTTTGCAATTGCGCTACGCACCGTCCAACTAAATAAATATCGCTTATAACGGGACGAACTAATACGTACAATTAGCAATAATCTTAAATTAGTTCTATTTACTTCGAAGCAATTAAATGCGCGTTTTAAATGTGAGCGGACCGACCTCGCCTTCTGCTGGCGAGCGTTACGTGTGACGACCACAGAATTAGTAGGGGAGCTAGCACGAAATCCACTGAACGAGAATGATCAAAATTTTAACCGATGGAGTTCCATTTTGCCCTATTAGAGTATGCTAAAATCGATCGTCTGCCGCCTCAGGTCATACGACTTAAGCTGCTGCGGGTACTTCTTTCGGTACCAATTCTGAAAGGTTGTTTTTCGAGAAAATAAGTTATACACCAAATGAAAACGTTGATAATAGCTCTTAAAAAATATTTAAAAAAATCGCGCACATTTTTTGATAACTCCGTAAAACAACAATTCTTAGTAGGTTTTTCACGAACTTTCTATACCCGCAGCGCCTTAAGTCGTATGATCTGAGGCGACAGACGATCGATTTTAGCATACTCTGATAGGGCAAAATGGAACTCCATCGGTTAAAATTTTGATCATTCTTGTTCAGTGGGTTTCGTGCTAGCTCCCCTACTAAATACATAGGCGTACTCGTCAGATGATTTTACTCCCGTCCAAAACGTACCGTGCATATACCGATCGATAAAGGTAGGCACTTAATATGCACGTCTTTATGACGTATCCTGATCTTGATATTACATCATATAGCGTGACGAAACATTCAACACCTTTACAAGTTACCTATAATAATGACCTTGTGCTTACCTTTGAATAATGACCTTAAGAACCTCCAGAAGCATAAGTGCCTCTCTTAGCTCGTCTGGGTTATTTCGCAATGCGAGAGCTCGAGCGTAATTCAATATAAAATCTAACGTCTGATCCATGCAGTTGTTAAAATCGGTGTAAAATTTTTCAAGTCGAACAAACTTCTGTAGCCATTCCGCCGCCTGTCTAAAAAATGGACCTTTAAGGTGATCTCTACAACATATATGATAAACAAGTACAAAAGTGGCCTTGCGATTTCTTCAATAACGTTGTTGCGAAGTAAAATAGTTTCTGTTCTGTAAACGACATAGATATATAAATACATAGATACAGCCATACCCCAACATAGTTTAAAAGGACGTACCATCTATTACCATCACTTTCGGCACATTAATTACGTATAGCGCTATCCTTTATAGAGGTACCCTGAGCATGGAAGACAAGATTCGCATTATTTATTATAACTGTCAATCAAATTGTTAGCACAAATCACACAGAAAATTATCAGATTTGAGACTTTACAACATAAATAAACCGCCTGTTTATTTATTTAAATCGCATAGAAGCAAGAAATGTTACATTTAAAATGGAATATGTTACTTAGAAAGCTGGCAAATGAAGAATTTGAAAAAATTACAGCTGACAACTGGAAGAAAGTGTGTGAACATATTGTGGAAAGTGATTAATTTAAAAGAGAAGTTATATTGGTTGATGTTTCTGAACTTTATAATAAGTGTTAATAATGACAGTGATGATTCGGGTTTGTCAATTTCATCTGACGATGATTCGGATTGTGAACTTTTACAAACGTAATGAATGTTGACTAAATGAGTATTATCACCAATTGGATATCATTGTTAAGATGTTGTATTTATTTTAAATAAATGTACACGTGTAGCTTACTTACTACAATTAGCACTATAATTTCAAAAAGAAACCCCACCGATTGGACATATGCCGAAAGGTAGGCAAGACGCGTAGCGACCAAAATTTGATATTGCACGCACACACAGTCTATAAATCTCGTTTTCCTAAGAATATTGCACGGATCCTTCGTGATCATGATACAAACGCACTGCAACAACATCATATAGGCCAAAATGATAATTGGAAACCAATTCACTTCCTGTTGCAACTTAATCTCCGTTACCATTACGCCTAAAACCATGCAATTAAAATTAAAATGTTGAACATAAACTTTACTTACTTACGGTTTTTTTTATATTCTGCAAGCCAGCAATGAATTCACTGCAGCACATCATGCCAAACAAGGTACACATAGTCCCAAATTTGAATGGTGTAGCTCTATGTAATAAAACTATTTCAGGAATAACAATTATGGACGCGTCTATCATTATGGCAAGCACTAATGTTATTCGTATTCAATTGATAACGCAATAATTACATAATATTAAAAACCGCCCATCATGTTTAGGGCGAATATTTTTAGTTAGATTTGATTTCGCGCAATCGTGCCGTTCGTCTCGCGACAGTAATCACTTGGCTGCTACGCACATGCGTATTACACCTTCCCATTAATGCACAAAACTTTAAATTTGAATTTAGAAATGTGAATAAAGAAATACCGTTCTGCGCATGTGCGTAGCAGCCAAGTGATTACTGTCGCGAGCCGTTCTTCAATCGTGAAATGTGTCAACTGTCACATGACTTATGGGACGCGCTAAGTTTGTTTTAAGCGTCCGATTCGCGTACGACATAGTGGTTAATGCAATAAAAAGAGATAGAACATGTTTCTTCTTGGTTAGAAAGTAATGGAGAGATGTACAAATTTCTTTGATATGTTTTTTAAAAACCGAGGTACGTTTGTTAAAGATGGCTGTATCTAGGTATTTATATATCTATGGTAAACGAGCGATTTTGGCGACATCTATTGAAATGGTCACGGCAACGCCATGGCAAAGATCATACCAAAGATGCTACACGAAAAAATAACACAGGTTTTAACAATATCGGCTTTATTGACAGCGGTGTCCATTGGCTATTTATACGTACGTAACAAAGTGCTGTTATCAACATCGCTTTGAAGTGTGTAAAGTCAACATTATATAAACTATATACTCGTAACTGGAAGGGAGACAAGCATAATAGCCAGACGCGAGTGGTAGTATCTTTATCTCTCTCACACCAGTAACATTAAATTCATTGACATAATTTTTCTATTTCACAGCGTTATTAACAACTAACAGAAGTACCAATAGTAAATAATGAAAATTACTATCGAGATCGAAAACATATCGAAAACCTCCTAGAGCGGGCACAACAAGCGATAACAATTCCGTTGGTATTGCGATTAAAACCGATATTATATCTGAAAAGTGTTTGGGCATTTTGCAACACTATACCGTCGTTATTAAAGCCTGCGTAAAATAACATATAAACGCAACTTACTGTGGTTTTTGATTAAAGCGATAGTCCATGTAAACGTAAATGCAAACGCGCCATCCAAAAATAGTATAGTATATTAAGTACAATCTTTGCGCCACCTTAAACTAAAACTAAATGACAATATTATAAGCTACCTGATTTTGTCGTAATCAAAGGGTTCCAGTTCGGATAATTTATAGAAAGGGAAATTGACCAGCTCCTCGCTTCCATCAGGTATGCAATATTCCAATTTTATTTGTTCCATGGTAGGTATATCGAAAACGGAGGATGAGGAATATTAACTTATTAAGTGTTGAAATTCAATTGTTTTGGCAATAACTATTAATTAACATAATTTATCCTAAAAAAACTTAACAAACAAGGCAAAATCACTTGTTTTAACCAGAAATGGTGATACAAAATTACGAACAAATTCGAACGATTCCAAAGTATAAACTTTAGAGCGCGCTGCAGTCGCATTAAGTGCCAGTGGCGTATCCAAAATTATTGCGATTGGTAACGGTGCGATGGAATTTTGTTCACGTGATGACTGAGTGTTGGCCAGATTTAATGGTTAGTTTCAAAGTTTCTAACACATTTAACATCGTTCCAATTAGATTTGACCATAGGGATTTATAAATTTAGGACCCCCATAAATAAAAAATATTAAACTTTTAGTGGTCATGTTTTTATTTCGCATTCTATCAGTTCGAAAGACGTTTTCTCAGTATCCTTGATTAGTGTGCGCCACTTACATAGGTGGAAGCTTAATGTAAGTACATATTCTATAATTTAATCCTCCTTTGGTTTGTTTATTTCCCTGCGCAATCTTTTTTCTCATTACTTTCGTCCTTTTCAAGACTACCAGTTTCTTTCGAGTATTACAACTAATGTATGTAATTATATTTTATTAAGCATTTTACTAATGTTCGTACTTTACTGCTGTCAACTTCACGCGGTTGAATTTGAGGTTACAAACCGCTGTGTTTGTTTATCTAAAACAGTTTTCAATACCTACAGATGCTTCTGTAGTAGGAGAGCTGGTGGACATTTTTGGGTAAGTATTTGAGGCACGCTGAGAGAGAGACTGGCTGAGGAGAAGCGGGGCTAACACCTTGCCAGGCGCCTTCAAAGTTTGAAAAGAGAATGTATGCCCAGTCGAGTATCTGAATGCGTCAGAAGTAGTGGGTGATCTACACATTATTAGTGTCGTCTGAATTAGTACTTGTATCATGTTGAAATTTTCATCGTTTCTTATGCCGAAATAAAGACAATTCTCCTGAAACTTTCGTCAAAAGTGATCAAAGTACACAGGTAGGTATTCATGTATTTATTGCGGTCAGTATACAATTCAAATCAGGAATCCCTTGGCCCTGCGTCATTGATTTGTCAATCAATTTCAGACAAGATTTTTTATCGATTTCGCATACTAATTAGCTGTTGTTGCAGCGTTTTAGCGTATGCGTTGAGTTAGAAAACAAAACTCAAAAGCGTATGTCTGCATATGTCCATTGAGTTAGAAAACTAATGGAGGGAATCAAATGCTTGGCCCACATATGTCTGAAATTGATTCACAAATCAATGACATTATTTTTTTCAAACTTTGAAGGCCCCTGGCAAAGTGTTAGCCCCACCAATCCTCAGCCAAGTCTGCATTTCTGTGTTTGGGTATTATTGGAGAAGTGTTGGACAAGTTTTCAGCGTGCCTCAAATACCTACCCAAAAATGTCTACCACCTCTCGGACTACTAGTAAAGGCAAGCATATCACACTCAAGTGATCAGCTGTTATCATCCAATTTACTTAAATTAAATATGAAAATTGCCATACCTACTGGCTGAAGAGGTAAGGGTTGTCCATTATCCCTGAAATGACAATAAGAAAATTAACACTTCCTCAGGAAAAGGTTATCACTTTCTAAGTAGCGTTAGGAGTTCGCCAACTTCTACGTTAAGTGTAATTTCTAATTGATTCCACTGTGGACGATATAAAGGTCGATTCTCACTAAGGCAGCGCGTCGCAGCGCAGCGCGGCGTGGGATAATGCTGCTTACAATTATATGCATACTATAAGGTCGCGCCGTTCTCATTTAAGCAGCGCGCCACAGCGCGGCGCCGCGCTTCACGAAGCAGCAACATCGGAATTGCTTTGCGAGCATTGCAAACGCGCTGCGCTGCTTGCTGACGCACAGATGTGAATCACAAAGCGTGTAGGAACTTGCAGAAATTGTCATTTAGTACTTCGAAATGGACGGTGAAACAATTGAAAAATTAATTTCACTGGGCAATGAGTATCCTGAATTATACGATATGAGTAGAAAAATTAATTGTACTCGTCCGCTTTCTTTTTTCGTCGTGTACATGGCATAGTGCCGCTATAAATATTATGAAATCATCTGGCGATGATGAAGATGGTGGCTCTTCTTCGAGCGTGTAAGAATACATTCTTCCTTAAACTGAACACAAACAGAAACGCTGCTTCGTCACGCTTCCAAATGGTGCTTAAGTGGGAATACCCCTCTATAATTTGCTGCTAGCGACGCGCCGCGCTGCTCTGCGCCGCGCCGCTCGGTGCTGCTCTAATGAGAATCGACCTTAATGGTCTATGGCGGTATGTCAAACTTCTACGTTAAGTGTACGCACTAAGTGGTAATTGCTAATTTAGTCATCACCGCATCTACTAACATTGGGGCCAGATAATTTGAAAGGAATGCCCATTTTGTTTTTAAATTTCAAATCCGATCAGTAGTTCCAGAGAAAACCCGATTTAAATGAATTTGCAGAGCCGTTTTAAATGTTTATCAAGTAGGCAGGGCCGTCGTTAGCCTCCACGGGCCCCGGGAATATTTTTTGACCGGGCCTCTATAATTGAAATTTTTTTGTCCGTCACTCTTATCTTAAACTAGACATTTTATTCTTCATTTCTTGGATTTGAAAGGACATTTGAATAATTTTCATACAGACACGACAATTTTCATAATTTTTTATTAATTAAGTATTAATAATTCAAATAACCAAATTACAATTTAACTCTGCGGATTTTCTTATTAGCAAAAGTTGAGCTCACTTGCTTAAAATTATTTATCTAGCAAGTTGAGCTTCAAGAGCTACTGTGCTGAGACTGATCTAACCCATCTTGACCCATAGGCGATCTCAAACGGTTTTTTACTCTAGCGACTAGACTTTTAATTAACGCTCGCCTTCTGTCACTGTGACGTAATTAGGAAATGTGGCTCAATGGTATGGTTTTTTCAATGTTCTGCTGTGGATTTTTTTTAATTCTCTCATAGAGATATGCATATGCAGATTTTTGTTAAAAATCAAGTTTCAAAATTTCTTTTGGCCGGGACCCCAGATTATGGCCGGGCCCCGGGGCAATTGCCCCGGCTTACTCCCCTTATCGGAGGCCCTGCAAGTAGGCCTTGAAATAATTGATAGCTTGTGTCAGAAAATAGCATCTCACACAAATGCATTAGTGCACTAAGTGCATAAGCAAAAAAACAAGTTTGTGAGTGTGTTAAATGTAGGTAACTTGTTTAATTTTGTGGTAACTCTAAAACAATAATGGCTTACACTATAGCGGAAAAGGTAAAAATTCTTTCGATTTTTTTTAAATGGTGAATATGCGTCCCAACAACTGCTCTGAACTCGCAGATAAACATGTTCATTATTCGTATGTCAATGGTTTTTTAAAAAAATGGTACCTAAACCAAAATTGGCATTAACTGTTGTTAGTAAGCCACCCTGTATACACGTTTAACGTGGTTCAGAAAAGCAATAAAATTATCATCTGCGTTTTTTCGCAACACTTTCCATGCGAGCATGCGACATAGGTAATTTAAATGGGTTTGTAGAATGTGCCCTGGAACACCTCACCTTTTCTTCAACATTTTGTGTCTAACCCAGGACCTCTCCACTCCTTGGGTATGTGCATCTGTTTGATGGTAAGTAACTTTTGAATGCGCGTAACCTAATCATCTGCATTTTTTTTAATTGAAATAATATTTTTTTCAAAAATCTTTTCGGAGCATTTTTGTTTTATACCTACAAAGTCATTATTAGCTCATAATGTATAACTAAAGATACATAATTACCTAATTCACAATTTCAAAAACAACTAAATTGCCGAATAATTTATTATTAATTATTAATATGATACTCATCCCAGTGAAAGTATTTAATTACATAATTTTGCAATTGCTTTATTGCTTGCCTTAACGAGGGCCTATGCTATGTGTAATCACCTATATCGGTATTCACAGTGTTAATTTTGAAATTTAGTACAGCCATTGAATAAAAAATTAAGTTTATTCACTCCGAATCTGCTTACGTTGCCCATTTACGGAGATTCTAAATTCACTTTTAACGCACCCTTCTATTTAATACGTATTCCTCTTTTTAAAATTATTTATGCTAAATTTAAGTTCATCCGAACTTTAAAAAAATAGAAATCGCCTTAAGCAATTATAGAGTGTCTTTTAAATTTTAAGGTAGGTTTTTATCAGCCAAGCAATAACAGGCCGCACCTTCCCAGTAGGTATACAGGGTGTCCCTAAAATGTCTGTACAACGCGCTACCAGGGGTTCTTGGTATCAAAATAGGACGATTTAACCCAACTTACCTCTATCCAAAAGTGCTTCGGTAAGGCGCTATCTACCGCCAGATTTTAAAAAAAATCGTTATTTTTATTTTATCGGAAAATGGTTTTGCCGATTAAAATGAAATTCGGGATGTGAATGTCTAATGTAAAAAGGGTCTTTGTGATATCATCGTTTTGATTGTAGTTGCTATGTAGGTGGTAAAATACTGACCATCCACATCTGAAGAGGTCTAAAACTTTTTAACTACTATTTTGACGGTTCTGAATTTTTAGACACTGATAGACAGTTTACTTGCAAGCATTTTTTCTCTCTTGATGAATATCGCTATCTGTGATGGTTTACGAAAAAAAAAAAATTTAAGCATGATGAATGGCATGCACCATACATGTGATTGTTCCTCAAAAAATCAGAAGATGGCTGTGAAACCTTAGAGTGGCGTAACGTTTGTTTGTTGTTTCTTAAACTTGAACAATTTACGTTTTGCTTGAAGACTTAAAATTTCATTGTTAAAATTGTAATATGGCCTTTCAATACAGTAACGCAGAGTTAACTGATATGCTATTAGTGTTTGGATACTGTCGTGGAAATGGTCGCCAATGCGTTAGGGAGTATACTAACAGGTTTCCAAATCGTCATAGCCTACTTCTTGCTTGCACTTGGTTTTTGAGGAACAATCGCATGTATGGTGCATGCCATTCATCATGCCTAAATTTTTTTTTTTCGTAAACCATCACAGATAGCGATATTCATCAAGAGACAAAAAATGCTTGCAAGTAAACTGTCTATCAGTGTCAAAAATTCAGAACCGTCAAAATAGTAGTTAAAAAGTTTTAGACCTCTTCAGATGTGGATGGTCAGTACAACTACAATCAAAACGATGATCACAAAGACCCTTTTTACATTAGACATTCACATCCTGAATTTCATTTTAATCGGCAAAACCATTTTCCGATAAAATAAAAATAACGATTTTTTTTTTAATCTTTGGCGGTAGATAGCGCCTTACCGAGGCACTTTTGGATAGAGGTAAGTTGGGTTAAATCGTCCTATTTTGATACCAAGAACCCCTGGTAGCGCGTTGTACAGACCTTTTAGGGACATCCTGTATATACAGTGTGTAAAGCGATGGGGTATACAAGAGGGAATTTTCTTTAAATATTGATTTATGAAGAAAATGTATTCTTCATGATATGTTTTGCTTGCTTTGAAAGTACCAATAACGTTTCGATTGTTTGTGGTTTGATAGCAATACGTTCTTGATTATAATGTAGATAGAATGATAATTTTCAATAAAAAAATTGCGACGAACTTCCCCCTTAGCTCGTGCACGAACGGTATTCTAAATAAGGGAAAGCACAATTATTTCAAGTTCATTTAATTGTCGAACAATAATATAATTGTACAATTCAATTATTACACCGGGGACGGTCGGTCGGTCACTCGGGCGCCACCAAGACTTAATCTGCACCCCCTAAGTCTTGGGAAAAGGGGCGGTGCGGTCTTCGCGGACGGGGTGGAAAGCCTCCGGGTATCCTCAAGTGGAGAACGGAATAACCAGGGATCGGTCAGGGTTCACCACAAAATGGCGGCGGTCACTTCCGGATAATCTAAAACAAAATATGGCCAACGGCCCGGACGGTAAATTTCCTAAAGGGAATAAAACAATAAATCAATTAGCGGTGTCTAGGGGAAATAAAAGCGGAAAAGCAAGGAGAACAGAATATAATGAAGTTTAGCGGAACGGTGGCAAAAGGTTACGGTTGTGCAAAAAAGGGAAACTCAAAACGGTAGTGAAAAGGAAAGGACAACGGCTTGACTTACGGTCGCTCAAACGGTAAAACGGTAAAACAAAAGGGTTTCGGTGGATTCGGAATGATACGGTTTCGCAAATTAAAGAAATCAAAAGGCGTACTTACAACTCGAAAGTATGAAGCAGAAAAGATCCCTCCCAAAATGAGCATTTTCCTTTTAAAGGAAACCAATTTTGGTGGAAGTGGAACAGGGAATTTCCAAAGCCTCGCTGCATTCGCACCGAGCGGTGTAGAAAATAATTCGGTTTTTAATTAATTGCGGCTCCTGTGATTATCTTAAAAATCTGGGACAACTTGCAAACAATTAGAAAAATTACAGCGCCTCTGTGGACACCTCTCTCGACGGTTTCTGACAAGGTTTACTACTGCCCATTAACATGGCATTAATTAACAGCGCTTACCTAATTAAGCGTAATCAAACCTAAGTACTCATCAATCCAATCTGCAACTAGCTCCTTTGGACTTTTTCTTCTCAAACGGCGCTATCGCTTTAACACTCTTATCGCAACATGCAGGCATACGGACGGGACTGCAAAACTTGTAAACAACTCGATTTGAACTCGTTTTATCCTTGATTTTACTTATTATGGGAATCTAAAACATCTTATAAATAATTAACGGCGCTGAAATCAAAGAATATTAATTGCCCCTCATCTTCGCCAGGACAACATCCTTCGGTGGTTACAAAAATATCGCGGTCTTCTTGCGTAACGAAGCCCAAACCAACGTTACATACAGGGTGGTCTTTGTAAACGGCAAACTAAATGGAGAAATTCCGGGTGCTTCGTTACACACTCCCCTTTCTTCGGAAAGAAAAGAGTGGAACTCTTTTCGGCACGGTATCCTAAAACAAACAACAAAACTCGGAGACGGGCAAACAGGACGGAACTTGAACTACGGAATTACGGTCGATAGGGTTTCAGATCCTTCACGTGGACTCTAGGAATCTTGGTCCTCTCGGACGGATGTTTCAGGGTGAATACCACCGGTGACTCCACTTTGTGGATGACATATGGGCCGGAGTACTACGGCGCCAATTTCGCGGCATACCCCATGGCAGCTTTGGACAGGGGGTGGTCTTTCCGGAGTACCAAATCACCCACATGCGGTTTCCATTCTCGGTGTCGGAGGTTGTAATGATGCGCCTGCTTTGAAAACGCTCGGCCTATATTCCTAGCGACTAGCTGAAACACATCCTGAAGATTGTCTAAACGGTTACGGTGTTCGGGAATTTCGGCGGTCAGGTCGGTAGGGGTATCGGGATTCGGAGGTTCTTGCTGACGGTGGACAGTATTCGGAAGGACAAGTTCACGGGCAAAATTCAAGTAGGCGGGAGAAAATCCGGTTGATTCTTGGACGGAGGAATTCATAGCCATCATGAAATGAGGTAAAAACCTATCCCAACTCCGGTGATTTTCTTCACAAAACTGCGCAATCATGGTTTTCAAAGTTCGGTTGGCACGTTCGACGGGATTGGCCTGCGGAGTATACGGCGGTGTGAAACGGTGGGTAATACCAAGTTCGGAGAGGAGATTTTTGAAATTTCGGCTGTCATACTGGGCTCCATTATCGGTAATCAAAATCCTCGGTGTACCAAAACGTGTAACAACTTCCTCAAATAAAGCCTGAGAAACGGTAGCGGCGGTGGCTTTACGGACGGCTTTGAAACATACCCATTTGGTAAAACGGTCTTGGAAAACCAGAAGATATTGGTTTCCTTTCGAGGAACGGGGAAGTGGGCCTACAATGTCGGTACTGACAATGTCCCAGGGTAAACGGTTAGGATATAGCTGCATTTTCCCCGCCGCTTGCTGTTGAGATACCTTGTACCGTTGGCAAGACTCACAGTGACGGACATACTTAGCTACATCTCGGAACATACCTGGCCAATAATAATGATCTAAAATTCTGTTTACGGTTTTGGTGACACCTAAATGTCCGGCGGTAGGTGAATCATGATTTTCATGCAAGATACGGTTTCGGTTCGGTTTGGCAACACAAAGTTTCCACGGATCGGTAACGGTTTCATCTTTTAATGTGTTAGAATGAAAATGACGGTACAAATTATTGTTACGGATGCAATAATCCGGTACGGTATCGGGTCGGTCGGTTACGGCATTAAATTTATTTCGGTACCAAGAGCATTCGGGTAATTCAAGGGCAAAAATCGGTACTTCGGAAGTTTCGGTAGTGTCGTTCTCGGTATGAGGTAAAGGATCACGGGAAAGAGCATCGGCAACACGGTTGAGAACTCCTTTTCGGTACTTGATCTCGAAGTCATACTGCTGCAGGAAAATACTCCATCTTGCTAGACGGCCGGTCGGACTTTTGATTGAATGCAGCCAGCGTAAAGACTGGTGGTCGGATAGTACGGTGAAATGATAGCCTTCCAGGTACGGTCTCATCTTCTCAATTCCCCAGACAATGGCTAAGCATTCTTTCTCGGTAACGGAATAATTTGTCTCGGCGGATGTTAAGGTGCGACTTGCATACGCAATCACTCGGTCATCTCCATCGATTTGCTGTGTGAGAGCTGCGCCAAGTCCGGTGTTGGAAGCATCAGTTTGTAAGACGAACGGTCGGTCGAAATCAGGACAAGACAGTATCGGTGCGTTGGTTAGACGGTTCTTCAGGGTTTCGAAAGCTTGTTCTTGTTCTTCGCCCCAACTCCATTTTTGGTGTTTTCGGAGGAATTTGGTCAGTGGGGATACAATGTTTGAAAAATTCGGGACAAAACGACGGTACCAAGATGCTACCCCAAGAAATCTTCTGACGGCTTTGATGTTGTGCGGAGTCGGTATTTGCTGGATGGCGGCTACTTTGTCCGGATCGGTTTGTAGACCTCCATCACTCACGACGTGGCCCAAATACTTCAGAGACGGACGGCAAAATTGGCATTTTTCAGGATTGATTTTGAGACTAGCCCATCGGAGTCGGTGGAAAACTTCCCTTAAGTTGTCTAAGTGCTCGTGGAACGTTCTTCCCAGCACGATTATATCGTCCAGATAGGCGAACGCTCGGGGTTCCATTTCGGGCCCAATGACACGATCCAAAAGACGCTGGAACGTGGCTGGGGCGGAGTGTAAACCAAACGGCATGACTTTGAACTGGAACAGTCCTCGGCCGGCTATGGTGAAAGCGGTGATGGGTCGGCTAGTTTTGGTCAGCGGTATCTGCCAATACCCTTGTTTTAAATCGATGCTTGAAATGTAACGGGCTTGACGGAGGCGGTCTAAAATCCCATTAATAAACGGAAGAGGATAGGCGTCTTTAACGGTGACTTCATTGACTTTACGGAAGTCGATACAGAACGCATCTTGCCATCTTTCTTTCGGATCATGACAATCGGTGAACTCCATGGACTTTCGGACGGTTCTATGATGTTCTCGGTTAGCATACGGTCGACTTCTTCATTAACGAGGGCTTGCATTCGGGGATTTTGGGGACGGTATCGTTGTTTAATCGGTGTGGGATCTCGGAGTTTGATGTCATGTTCGATTAAGTCGGTGCAGCCATTCAGGGTTTCGAATGGTGGTAATTCGGTTTGAAGAAAATCTTGTAATTCGGTTTCTTCGACGGCGGTTAGCGGGGTAATAACGGAACAGGGAATACATTGTTGAGAAACGGGACTAACTCGAGGAACAAGGAAACTGCCAAGGAATAAATTGCCGGTTTTCATGTTGAAATGGAGTTCGGTTCTGGAGAGAAAATCCATTCCAAGGAGTACTTCATAACCAAGACCTGGGGCATGATGGACTAAATGGGGAATTTCGGTTTCTAGGATGGTGATCGGAGCAATATAAGCGCTATGGATATTAACGGGTTGATTGGTAAAGCTCTTGGCTTGTTTATGTTTCGGCGGTCGGACGGTATCGGCAACTATAGTAGCGATATGTTTGTTAATGAATGAAATGGCTGATCCGGTGTCAATCAAAGCAGTAAACGGGTGGCCATGAATGTGAACTGTAATAAACGGACGGGGGTCGGTACCTTGTATCGCAGCAGCGGAGGGAGAAGTGTCAGCGGAATTTCGGACGGGACGGTTAGGGGGATTACTTTGGGTCTGACACCCACATTCTCGGGACATTACTCCTCGTCTACCACAGCGCGAACAGAATAGCATGGGTTGGTTGCGACACTGAGATCTCCAATGCCCAGTTTGACCACACCTCCAGCAAACTGGAGCCTCATCGGACTCTGCAGAATGACTGGGTGCAGGCGGCCTAGAAGCGGTATTAACAGGGGCGGAAGGCGGTAAATTTCGGGTGGTATTGGGGTTGGGCTGTTCGGATGAACTGCGAGAAGTCCAGTTCCGGCTAGGGGTTAATGATTGTCTCGGAATGGGTGGCGGAGAAACCAACTGCCCTCGGTTTTGAGTGGAAAGTGGTTCGGCAAAACTAACTGACCTATTGGTACGGAGCGGTGGTGGATTATTGGTATTCAAATCGGTACGGTAAGCGATTTCGGTACGGTTTCTTGCAAAATCGGTGCGGTTTACGGAATCTGTACGGTTTCGGTCAAAATAGGTTCGGTTTCGGTAAGAATCGGTACGGTTGGTAGATTCGGTACGGTTCGGTTGATCACCTCCACTAAATGGAACAGTGAATCGGGACGGTTGAGCCTGACGGGCTTCTCGGTACACATCTTCATAATTCTTAACGGCTTGAGTCAGCTCGGTTACGGAACGGCAATCGGTACGGCGGATACATAAGCGGTATTCAGGCAATAAGTTATGGTGTAACCAGTAGAGCTCCTGTTCAGGGGACATACGGCCATGTCGACGGATTAGCGTTTGCAGTTCGGTAATGTAACGGACTGCGGGTTCATTAACTCTTTGACCACGGCGGCTAATTTGTGCCTCAAGGTTAATGTGATAATCAAGGGGGAAATAAAAATTTTGAAAATCGGTGACGAAGTCCAGCCAAGTGCGCCAGCGGAGACGGTTATTTCGGTACCATTGAAGTGCCAAGCCGGTGAATAATTCTGGCAACACAAGAAGTAACTGTTCGCCCGGTATGTTGTAGCGAAGGCTTATTTCATCCAAGCGTTCCAGGAAAGAAATGGGATCGGTATTCCCCCCAAAGCTAACATTCCAATCTCGGGTTTTAATTTTGAATGGGACGGAGGAGGGCTGAATCTGGGGCGGACTCCCAACAGATAGAGCATACGGATTAGATGCTGGCATAGTCCAGACTGGCGGTAACGGTTGGGTTTGTGCAAATCCCTGAGCAGCGGTAGTATAAGAAACAGACGGCGGATAATATGAATGACTCATAATCGGCGGTTGGGTGACAAGGGCGGTGGCGGAAGACGTACTTATCGGGGTAAAAGTAATATTCGGTG